TGTGTGTGTGTGTGTGTGTGTGTGTGTTCCCTCATAATATCTTTGTGTTCCCACGCAATATTTTTGCATTATCTCACAATTTTTTGGACATCAGTGACCCTGAAAGGAAGAAGCAGGTAAAGGATAATAGATGGCTGGACAAAGGGAAGAAGTAACAGAAGACACTGTGTACACAAACAATTAAATGAAATAAAATGTAAGAAAATCAGGAAGAATGTCATGGCAAAACACAAACAAATACAACAATAAAAAAACTCATACTGATATCACGATCTGTGTGGACTTTATTWAAACAATTTCAAAAATTAGTACACATAAAAAACTTTTTCAGTAATGATGTTTTTTTTAGAGAGCTGTGATTGAAGTTTGTACTTTGTTTCTATCAAAGACAGTTTGTTTCAGATAAAAGTACTTCTTTTATTTGTGTTGCAAAACATTGCACTAATATTCACATATATCAGTCACATACTGTACTATATATCATTTTAACCCGTATTTGGCTCCAATTATAGTTTTTTTTGATCAAAGTTTATCAAAGAACAGGAAAATATGTTTGTTGAGGCAAAGTGTTGATCAGATGTTTTAATTTGGTGAGAACAGGTGAGATGCRTCAGCTTGATTACTGGAGGATCTGTGATGGGAGGAAGAGCAGAGCTGAAACAGGAGCTGCTAAAAACACGACAGGACGATCCTGAGGAAAAAAGCTAAACTAAAACTAAGACTGAAACTGAAACTAAAACTATAACAGACTGCCAATATTTTTGCTCCAGTTTTTTCATCAAAAGCTAAGARTTCAGATTTACAATGCAGTTTTAYGGAGCTCTGATCCTGTTGACGACTCTCTCTGCTGGTGAGAATATCTTCTTTCTRTTGAGACRGAYATAAAAACAAAATATACTGAAAAGGATTTGTTTATTAATCTGTTGGTTTGGACTTTTACTRTACACAGAAATTGTTCTAATCAAGACATATGTTCTACATCTGTTCCTTTAATTATTAGTTAATTCACTTATTTGAAGTGTAAAAAGGAGTTTTTTATTATATCATAATAATGAATACCATTTTTTTTTTGTTTATGTCATGCTTTAAGGTTTTCGTCCGTTTGTGGCTTCTTTTAAATTGAATAATGTCCACTGTTGTCCTGTTTTGTTGTGTTTTCTTGTATGTTTGTYTTTCTAGCTTGTGGAATTAAATGTTGCTATTGCCGGGGTGATGAATCAGAGTTMTGCACAACTCGGGCCCCTTGTCCTCTAGGCTGGGATCGTTGCATCACTTTCCAAGAACCTGGTGAGTTGTTAAATATCAAKATGTCTTAAAGTATTTTTACGATATTAAGTTGTTTCCAATGTTTTTTTTTTCTCCTGGTTTACAGGTACGAAATTTGTTGCCAAGGGCTGCTTTCATAGCAACATGTGCTTCAATTCATCTGTTTTTTCTTGCTGTGACACTGACTACTGCAACAATGGCAGCCTGAATGCAGTCCCCTCCTGGTGAACGGCACTAGCATCATCTTCACTCTGGTGTGTTCAGCCAACTTCACACTCTTCATTTGAGGCTTTTATCAGCAGAGAAATATTGTGAAATATAAAAAAATTGTAGTATTGTAAAATTTTCAAAATTAAATGGAATACAATTCTTTACAAAAAAGTGTAAATTTTTCTTCTTTTTTTTTTACTCAGTCTGTGAAATTTAGATGAAATAAACAAATTTTAAGAATGAACAAAAGTGCTTTACATTTACTGATGTACTGACGTGTTAAAGATAATAACAGCTACCAGTGGTAAGAATGCAGACATGGCTGTGCAGAAATAGACTTCTGTGGCTCATGAGTACAAAGTAAAATACAAATGAAAACATGTTATAAATACCTGATAAGACCAGTGGTTGGTCAATAGAGGGTGCTGCCTCACCACTAGTTTTTGGGACAGAATAAAATGTAAAAACAAAATAACAAAAAATGTTTAGTAGAAATATCTATATACGTTTTAGATGCGTAACATATGTTTTATACAGTGGTGGACAAAGTACTCAACTGTAGTACTTTAGTAAAAGTATTGATACTCATGGTCAAATCTACTCCACTACAAGTAAAAGTTACTCCATCAAAAATCTACTCAAGTTAAAGTACTGAAGTACTTTTGAAAATACTTAAGTATTCAAAAGTACATGACTTTTTAAAATTACTCAAGTATCGAAAAGTACAAATTACATTTTCTGCTATCAACACATTGCTGTATTGTTTTCAGTGAGTTTACAGAACCTTGTAGTTCTCWGAAACCACCTGATGTATTGACACATACAATCCCTGGCAAAAATATTTGAATCAGAGGATGTTCATTGAGTTGTTTTAATTTTGTAGAAAAAAAGCAGATCACAGACATGACACACAACTGAAGTCATTTCGAACGGAAACTTTCTGGCTTTAATAAACACTAAAAGAAATCAAGAAGACACTTTTCTTATCCCATCAATTGAAAGCATGTTTGGGGATGATGAAATCAAGATGATGATGATGCATCCTGCAACAGCTGTAAAAACATTCTTTGAAAAAAATACATAGGTCAATGTCATGGTCTGCAAATAGTCCAGATCTCAATCCAATTGGAAATCTTTGGAAGTTGAAGAAAATGGTCCATGACAAGGCTCCAACCTGCAAAGCTTATCTGGCAACAGCAATCAGAGAAAGTTGGAGCCAGATTGATAAAGTTGCAATTATGCTGTTACAAGTTACAATTCTGCTGTTTGTCACTCATTAAGTCCATGCCTCAGAGACTGCAGCTGTTAAAAAAGCAAGAAGTGGTTCAACAAAATACTAGTGGTGTTAAAGTTTTTTTTTTGTTTGTTTTTTCATGGTTCCATCATTTTTTCTTCAGAATTAAGTGATTCCACATTATTTTTCCCTCAGCTTGGCCCAAAACGGTAACTGTTACTGACTACAACAGCTTTTTTTTTATTTCTTTTAGTGTTTCTTAAAGCCAGAAAGTTTACATTTGAAATAACTTTAGCTTTGTGTCATGTCTGTGATCTGCCTTTTTTTTTCTACAAAATTAAACAACCGAATGAGCATCCTCCGAGGCCAGTGATGCCATCATTTTTGCCAGGGGTTGTACAACCACTCTGCTAAAAATTCTCCACCACCTGTAAAGACTTCACCATAAAATGCAATAAAGTGAGCAGTAGGTAATTAAATGCACAAATGCAGTTTATCCGTAGTGAACTCAGAAGACGTTTAAACTGATAGGAACTATTTTTCAGTCCTATCTCAAACATTGAGCTGAGATATGACCATGGGTGTGCTGGTTTCTCTGTTCTCTTCAATCGTCTCTATTGCTGGGTTCTGTCATTGTGTCCTTGGGCAAGACACTTCACCCACCTTGCCTACTGATGGTGGTCAGAGGGTCTGGTGGCACCAGTGCATGGCAGTCTCACTTCTGTCAGTGTGCCCCAGGGCAGCTGTGGCTACAATGTAGCTTACCATCATCAGTGTGTGAATGTCTGTAAGTGTAAAGGGCTTTGGGGTCTGGAGGGACTTGATAAAGTGCTCTATAAGTTCAGTCCATTTACCATTTGTTTGAAATTTAGGTGGGAGCTCAGCTCATGACCGTTAATGAAGATGATGTAATTGCAAATCTATCCTAGATGTGAGCTACAACTATGATTGGTTCCCCATGAGGAACATTGTGTGGCATTTCAAGAAAGAAAAACAGCAACAGCTGATTACAAAGCTATGCTGAACCAAAAGTAACAAGCAACTAAAAGTTTCCTAGAAATGTAGTGGAGTAAAAAGTACATTTGCCTTTGAAATGTAGTGGAGTGAAAGTACTAAGTACCCCAAAAAATAATTACTCAAGTAAAGTAAAGAAACTCAAAACATGTACTTAATTACAGTACTCAAGTAAATGTACTCCACTACTGTCCACCACTGGTTTTGTATAGTTATTAATGGATAAACTTTCATTTTACTCATGAACAATGTCATGTTGAGTCACTTCCGGACTTCTTCATGTCTGTCTGTTATGTGGAAGGGAACGAGAGGAGGACCAAAACTGTAGCATGAAAACAGGACAAAGGAAATGCTGACTGAACAAAAGTTTGGTGGAAGAGTGACTGGAACAGGGAATGAGGAACAAGGGAGGCGATGTGGCAAGACAAAKAAAACAAACCGAGGAGGAATGAGTAACAGTACAGCTACAGTTGCAGTTTGGTACAGGTTTCCTGCCTCCCCCACGTTTCACAAGAAGCCATCCTCAACAGCCTCGTTCCTCGCACCCTCTCTGCATATCTGACAGGCTGGCTCAGCTTCAAATCATTCCACGTAACGTACAATCTACCTTTTCCCACTCTCACCATGTCCACCTGCCACTTTATCACGCATTCACATTCCATTCTTCGATTTCGCATTTCCACCATCTGAACTTACCTTTCAGGTATCAATTTTTTCCTTAAGCTGGCCATAGGCAACTCCTGTCCAGCCCTTAGCCACAGCCACATAGCCATGCTACTCAAAGGACTTAAAAAGCAGGAGCCCCATTCACTCTCACGACATCTTCCGCTCACCGCCGATCTCCTCACCAGCTGCAACCTCACCCTGCGCTCCGGCCACTCGTCTCCGCTCGCAGACCTTACACTACAATGCATGTTCCTACTGGCTTTCTTCGGTTTCCTTAGCTGCTCCAAATTCGCCCCTTCTGCCTCCAAAGACGACCCTTCAATTCACCTGTGTCTTGCAGAGATTTCCTTCCTCAGTCAGGACACCCTGATTTACAACCTCAGGAAAAATAAAACTGACCATCTCTGAACTTCTTTTCCCATTCACATCTTCTGTCTCAGCTCCTTTCTCAGCCCCCTCAGCCTCTCTCCTATTACGTGCAAACTCGTATTAGAGCTAACGCTTCTCCCCACGACCCTCTGTTCATTACAGAATCTGGCTGCCAGGTCACCCGTTTCTGGTTCACCAAACACTTYCATCAAGTCCTGAGCAAATCAGGCATCTCTCCAGCCCTTTATTCCATCCAGTCCTATAAGCTGCCTCTTCGGCTTCCTATTCAGGGATCCCTGACCACGTTATTCAAATCCTAGGTCGCTAGTCGTACCAAGCATACCGCACTTACATCCGCGACCATCCCCTCGAACTTTATCACACGCACTCTCGACTCGATGCATTTCATCCCTGATTATTTTGGGTGTCCAAAGCAGGCTCAGGAAAAGCATCTTTCCTGGAGACCATGCCCCACTCTAAGTCTTCTCCTCAAGCCTCCTTCGATGTACCTCCCCAGACTCCTCATCATTCATCCCACTGCCCTTCGACCCCTTCCTTCATTCCCACTATCTTTCGACCCCCTTCCTTCAATGAAATATTTAAACTCTTACCATGGTGTGGTCCTTGCTAGTGAAGAGCATTTCATGACAATATCTTGGAACTGAATGTCGCAAAAACCAAAGAGTTGTGCTTTAGGGACAGAGATAAAGATGCCAGATCACCTCTCTTTCAGCCACTCAGCATCCAGGGTCAGCAGGTGGAACAGGTGGAGTCTTTTAAATACCTTGGGACAGAAATTGACAGAGCACACAGATTACAGTTTTTTTAAAAGCACACCAACATCCACACCTGCTGAGGAAGCTGTGMTCTTTTAATATAAAGAAGGATATTTTAACACTGGTTTATAAATCACTCATTGACTCCATCATCATCATCAACATTTTATCTTGGTACAACTTCCTCACCTTGAAACACAAAAACAAACTGCCACAAATCAAATATCAGGCCAGCAAAATAATCGGTTCACTTCAAACCCCTCTGTCTGAACTGCATAACTGCTCTGTGATGAGGAAGACCACCCTGATCACAAAAGACCCCTCTCATCTCCTCCATCATTCGTTCCAGCTGCTCGCGTCAGGCAGAAGGTTCAAAGTTCCTCTGGCCCGTAAAGCAATACACAAAAAGTCATTTATTCCTCTTGTAATATCCACTCTGAATACTTGACAGAGTTTTTGCTGACAACTAAGACTGAAGGAGTTTTTGCTGACAACTAAGACTGATGGAGTTTTTGCTGACAACTAATGTTTGAGGACTGAGGATGTCCTCAGATGTACACTGTACCGGTGGAGGCAGTGATTGGCTTGGAATGATGCGTGATTATGGAGGGAAGTACTGAAAATATAAAAGGATGAGTGCCAATAGTTTTGCTCCAGTTGTTTCATCCAAAGCTGACTAAGAATTCAGATTTACAATGCAGTTTTACGGAGCTCTGATCCTGTTGACGACTCTCTCTGCTGGTGAGAATATCTTCTTTCTGTTGAGACAGACATAAAAACACAACATACTGAAAAGGATTTGCTCATTAATCTTTTGATTTGAACTTTTACTATGAAAACAGAAATTGTTTCTAATCGAGACATGTTCTACATCTGTTCCTTTATTGCTTTAAGGTTTTCGTCCATTTGTGGCTTCTTTTAAATTGAATAATGTCCACTGTTGTCCTGTTTTGTTGTGTTTTCTTGTATGTTTGTTTTTCTAGCTTGTGGAATTGAATGTTACTATTGCCGGGGTGATGAATCAGAGTTATGCAYAGCTCGAACCCCTTGTCCTCTAGGCTGGGATCGTTGCATCACTTTCCAAGAACCTGGTGAGTTGTTAAAAATCAATATGTCTTAAAGTATTTTTACAATATTGTTAAGTTGTTTCCAATGTTTTTTCCTCCTGGTTTACAGGTACAAAATTTGTTGCCAAGGGCTGCTTTCTTAGCGACATGTGCTTCAACTCATCTGTTTTTTCTTGCTGTGACACTGACTACTGCAACAAAGGCAGCCTGAATGCCTGAATGCAGTCCCTCCTGCTGAACTGCATCCAGTGTCATCTTCACTTTCGTGTCTTCAGCCATGTTCACACTCTTTATCTGAGGCTTTTATCAGCAGAAATAAAATATTGTAAATGCTGTCAAATAAAATGGAACAGATCTGGCATCTTTTCTAGACATGCATTGTTAAAATAAAAGGATGTGCTCTAACAAACCTGGCTTTTCTATTTATTTTTAAGTGTTATCTTTTGGTTTTGTTACTGTTATGATTGAAGAATTAACTGAACAAAAATGCTGACATGACAAATAATTACAAGAACAAGGAAGAATCTTCTGGAACAGAGCCAACAAAATAAAATGGTCTGGCCCACACACGCTCAAAAAACATGTGCGTTGGATTTACTGAAACAAATTATGTAAAAAGGTTCTACTCAACTGAAATGAGTAAATGTTGCATAATTATTTTACATTTGTTCATAGGTGAATGTGAAATAAATGCATCAGGTCTGGTGCAGGACCGACCCAGGGCACAGGCACAGTTCAGGTTTCCCAAAAAAAAGGATCTATTAACACAAAAACCGCTGGCTGCTCAAAAAGTAAATCACAAAAACTTGATGTGGCGAAGACTCAAAGAACATGAAAAACCAACAGACTGGACGACACAGCACAATGATCGAACCCAGACTGAACACAGGACACAGAATACAAAGGCAAACTAATGAGGACAAATGAAAAACACCTGGAGGAGACRGCTCAGACACCAGGGCCCGTATTTATAAAACTTCTTAGAATTACTCTTAAGAATGCTGTGAAGAGTGGACTTATGTGTAAAAAAATTCTTAGTTAAAAGCTGAGAGTAAAAGTCAGTTATCAAGCATCTCAGTCTTACTTTTAGCGAAGTGTTGGAGTRATTCTTAAGTGTCAATCTCAGAGCTGATTTGCGACACCTGGCTGTGCCACAAATCTGATCCTGGATGACGTAGTTAAACAAAGCATGGACCAATCACTGCCTGGATTTCATGTTCAAGAACATTGTCGGAGAAATGTCAAGATAAGACTGTGAAAATCCTAAGATAAGTTCACTTTCAACACACTAATGATGTCACCTTGTACTGATTGTCTGTAGAATTACATAAAATGTCCTCATTTGCGTCATGAAAACAGACGAAAATCTCGCAATTTTTTTAAATCAAAAACTCAGCAGCTTTAAAGTTATTTTATGTCTCAGCGCCTGAGGTCATGTTGAGCTGCTCCCTTCTCCTCTTCGCCACTGTCTGCAGACAACACCGGCTTTACACACAGACACACGCACACAC